GAGGTTGGTGATGCGTCTCCGTTTCGGGTCTGGGGTGCCCTTTTGCTTGTTCGCGACCCCCCCGCGGGGAAGCTCTCTCCCCGCACTCTTCGCTGCGTCTTCCTTGGCTTCCCTACCGACGCCCCGGGCTGGCAGTTTTACCACCCGGGTTCTCGTCGTGTTCTTTCCTCCCAGGACGTCACCTTTGACGAGTCTGTCTGCTTCTACCGTCTCCACCCCCACTGCGGTTCCCCCGTGCCCCTCCCGCCTCTTGCACTGGTCTCCGACCCCCCCCCCCCCCCCCCGGTAGCCCCACTCCCCCCGCAGGGTCCTGCTCCCTCAGGTGTGTCTCAAGTTGACCCGTCCCCCTTGGTTGAGCCAGTCGAGGTCTCCTCTGACACCTCTGGCCCAGCTGAGGGGGGTGACCCGACTCCTGCTGCCACCGTGACCCCTCGCCGCTCTGCGCGCTTGGCGGTCCCTCCTGGGTTTCCGCCTCAACCGTCTTCACCGCCGCTGCGGCCTGTCGCTATGAACTCTAATGCTACAGGAGGTGGTACCACTGGGGGTGCTGGTTCTGGGGGTGCTGGTTTTGGGGGTGCTGAGTGTCCTCTGGGTACAGGAGGTACTAGAGGTACTAGGGGTACTGGTGCTGGTGGTCCTGGTATGAGTTGGCAGGAGGCTCTCTCGCCGGAGCGGCTTCGCAAGTGGGATGTCCAGTGGGGCAGCCCTGGTGGTGGAGCTAGCCGTCTTAGAGTGGGAGGTGCTGGGACTGCTGGAGCTGGAGGTGCTGGCACTGCTGGAGCTGGAGGTTCTGCTACTGGTGGTACTGGGGTTGCTAGTGCTGGTGGTACTGGTGCACGTCGGCAGGAGACTCTCTCGCCAGAGCGGCTTTGCGAGTGGGTTGTCCAGTAAGGCAGCCATGGTGGTGGAGCTAGCCGTGCTCGTACTACTAGAGCTGGAGGTGCTGGGACTCCTGGTACTGCTGGAGGTGCTGGAGGTGCTGCTGCTGTGGGTGCTGCTGCGGGTAGTCCTGGCTCACGTTGCCAGGAGTCTCTCTCGCCCGGCTTCGCGAGTGGGCTGTCCGTTGGGGCAGTCCTGGTGGTGGCGCTGGACGTGCTGGAGCTGCAAAATCTGGAGGTGCTGGCCCTGGAGGTGCTAGTGCTGGTGTTCCTGGTACTGGAGACACAGGTACTGCTGGAGGTACTGGAGGCACAGGTGCTGCTGCAGGTTCTGGAGGTTCTGGCCCTGGAGGTGCTAGTACCGGTGTTCCTGGTACTGGAGACATAGGTGCTGCTAGAGGTACTGGAGGCGCAGGTGCTGCTGGAGGTACTGGAGGTACTGGCCCTGGAGGTGCTAGTACTGGTGTTCCTGGAGATGTCCGTGCTGGAGGTACTGGTACTGGAGGCGGTGCTGACACTGGAGGTACTACTGGAGGTACTACTGGAGGTACTGGAGTTAGTGGTGCTAGTCGGCAGGAGTCGCTCTCGCCGCTGCAGCTTCGCGAGTGGGCTGTCCGTTGGGGCAGTCCCGGTGGAGGAGCTGGTGGTACTGGTTCTGGGGGTGCTGTTGCTACTGGAGCTGGAGGTTCAGGGGGTGCGACTACTCAGCCGCAGCCGTCTGCGCTTCGTCACCTTCTCAGTCTCCCGCCTGCTGCTACTGAGTTCCCGGTTGCTGGTACTACTCCTCCGTTACTGTTCCCACCGACTGACCAGTCTCAGCCACAGCTACTGCCTGGCTCCCCGCTGCCTGCTCCTGCTCCTCACACTAAGGTGACTGCGTCCCTGCCTGCGCGTCGTGAGCCTGAGACTCGTGCTTCCGCTCCTGAGCGTCGAGAGCCTGAGACTAGAGCTTCTGTCCCTGCTCGTGTTCGTCGTGTTCGTCGTCCTCGTGCTCCGGCTGTACCGGGCACTCACGATATGACACTCCGTCCTTCCTCTGTTCCACAGCGTGATGTCCTGCCGTCGCCTCCCGCGTCCTCTCTTCTGCATGTTCCTGACCCTGAGTCTGACCTTGTCCGCGCTGCCAGTCCGACTGTCACTCGTCTCCTTGCCACAGTTGTGACTGACCCTTCCTTTGAGTCTGCTGCTGCGTCTGCCTTAGTTGCTGAGCTTGTTGACTTTGCCACTTTGTGCCGCCTTGACTACGCTGCGAGTCTTGTTTTTGACTCTTCCTGTCCTCCGTCCATCGGGGTTGAGCTTGCCCTTGGCTGTGACGTCCTTGAGGACAAGCAGTTTGAGCTGGAGTGCCTGGCGGCCACTGCACCTCATCTCGCGTCCACGCTACTTTGCCCTGAGGGAGACTCGGATGCACTGGACATCCCGACCCCACACACTTACGCAGAGGCGATCACGGGTCCGTACTCCTCTCAGTGGCAGATAGCCATGGACGCAGAGATGGCTTCGTGGAAGTCCACAGGCACCTACGTCGACGAGGTTCCCCCACATGGGGCGAACGTAGTCGATGGCATGTGGATTTTCAGGGTGAAGCGGCCGCCGGGTTCTCCGCCTGCCTTCAAGGCGCGTTACGTTGCACGAGGCTTCAGTCAGCGTGAGGGGGTTGACTTCTTTCAGACCTTCTCCCCCACCCATAAGATGACCACTCTTCGGGTGCTACTGCACGTTGCAGCACAGCGCGACTACAAGCTGCACTCCCTCGACTTCTCGACAGCCTTCTTGCAGGGCAGCCTTCACGAGGCTATCTGGTTGCGCCGTCCACCTGGCTTCACTGGGTCGTTTCCTGAGGGTACCCAGTGGAGTCTTCGGTGACCAGTCCACGGCCTACGACAGGCGCCCCGCGAGTGGCACGACACACTGAGGACTACACTTGCGGCTCTTGGCTTCGCTCCCTCGACTGCTGACCCTTCGCTGTTTCTGCGCACAGACACTTCTCTACCGCCGTTCTACGTTCTCGTGTACGTTGACGACTTGGTTTTTGCTACTGCTGACACTGAGGCTCTGGCCTTGGTGAAGGCGGAGCTGCAGGAGAGACACACCTACACTAACCTGGGTGAGCTGCGGAGCTATCTTGGCTTGCAGATCACCCGGGACAGAGCACGCCGCACCATTACCCTGACTCAGTCACACATGGTGCAGCAGGTCCTTTAGCACTTCGACTTCATGTGGTCCTCGCCACAGCCCACTCCTCTGTCTACCGGCCACTCGCTCTCAGCTCCACCTTCGGACGAGTCCGTAGAGCCGAGTGGTCCGTACCCAGAGCTTGTGGGATGCCTCATGTACCGGATGACGTGCACACGACCTGACCTCGCGTACCCTCTTAGCCTCCTGGCTCGCTACGTGGCTCTCGGTAGACACCGAAAGGTGCACTCGGAATTTGCGAAGAGGGTATTGCGTTACTTGTGCAGTACATCGGGCATGGGGCTCGTGCTTGGAGGACCGGGTTCAGTTGTTCTCACCGGTCACTCAGACGCTTCTTGGGCTGACGACCAGGCGACTCACCGGTCGACACAGGGGTACAGTTTCAGCCTCGGCACTGGTTCTGTCTCGTGGAGTTCCACTCGCTCTTCTTCTGTACTTAGTTCCAGCTGTGAGGCCGAGATCTACGCTGGGGCTATGGCTGCACATGAGCTCCGCTGGCTGACCTACCTGCTGACCGACTTGGGTGAGCGGCCTCGTTCTCCTCCAGTTCTGTACGTCAACAACAAGGCCATGATTGCCTTGTGTCAGGACCAGAGACTGGAGCACAGAACGAAGCACATTGCTCTCTGTTACTTCCTCACGCGAGAGCTGCAGCAGCGTGGTCAGCTTCGTCTTGCTTACGTGGCCACACGGGCCAACACTGCTGATGTCTTCACCAAGGTGCTTGGGTCTAGTGATCATCAGCGTTTCTGCACTGCTCTTGGGCTTGTGCCCACTCTGTCTCACTTGCTTGTCTCTTGATCTTGTTCTGTGCTTTGATATATAAACCTGCATGTTTCTGGTTGCTAGGTTGTAATCATTGTACTGCTTGTGCTATTATAACTCTGCATGTGAACTGGCCTTGTGGCCGCTTGCTTGTGCTAGGAATGTGTGGTGTCCTTGAGATCCACCCTGAGCTTTGTTCTTTGTTTCTTCTCTTGACTGGTCTTGTGACCGTTTGTTGTCCCCCACTTAGCCTATGGGGGTGTGTCAAATGTAATATCTCACTGTAGGCTATATTGGGGTACTCATTAGGGGGTACAACCCATTAGGGTTTCCTACTTGTATGTTTGTACCCCCCCATTCTAGTCATTCCTGTTTCCATATTCTAACAGTTTGAACCAGTTGTATCTACAAAACTGAAAGCTAGATTGTACAATACTTCCATTTGATTGGTCAGACAACAATTTGTAAAATATCTGATACATCAGACACAAAAACGTAAAAAAATTTATGCATCAGACGGGCCCGAAGGGCCCGTCTGACGCATCAGGCGGCCTAAAATCCTAGCGAGGACCCTGCTCCCTGTTGCTAGTCATTCATCATTCCTGCACAGTTCTCGCGACATAAAATAGTGCTACCATAAGGTAGAAAAACTCTTGAATCGGCCTTGGGCCCAAAAAAACCTTGAAAAGAAAGCGTTTCAAGGGCAAATCAGCGTAAAATTCCTGACTTCTGGGGGCGTCATCATTACGCTTGCACTACCACCCTAGTCAGGGTGATGCTACACAGATTCATGCAGCTCCCCTAGCAAATCTTGTTCGTAGAGCTTGTAGCAATCTAGGCCCCTGCTAGTGCAGATGAGATGATGTTTCGGTGATTTAGCTATTTTTCAAAGTAGCTTAGCGGAATGGGTTGACTAGGAATGTGAGGAGTACAAATAGCAACCATAGAAAAGTGTTGTACTCCCTATTGTGTTACTCATTGTAGCCTACAAGCATAGAATAACATTTGACATTTTTCTACATATCTTCCTACCTATATTTTAGCGCACGGCATTTTCATGCATACCGATGTTGGGTATACACGGCAAGCACGAAGCGAGTCACGTCCATCCCGAATCATTCAGCAGAGAACTGCACGGCGGCATGCAGGCAAGGTCACAGCCTACACCTTGGAGCCCAGCAGCCGTACCACCCACTGCAGGTGCGCCCTCAGCTGCCTTGCAGCAGGGTAAGTGAGGTCCCTGGGCACTCCCACCCTGTCCCTCAGATACGCCACACACACCGCAACCTCCTCCTGCTCCTCTCCACTCAACGCCCCAAGCACCCCTGCCTGCACTGCTGCCCCCACCGCCTCCGTGCCCTCCAGCAGAGCGTGCGCCACGTGGCGCAGCGCCTCGCTGACAGCTGGCGCCAGCCGTTCCCTCGCTGCCTCCAGCTCAGCGTCCGACGGCGGCTGCAGCCGGGGCCGTCCTCCAATCAGCGTGGCCCGCTGACGTGGAAAGGACTGCTGCCGCAAGGCCCGAAGGCAGAAGGACACCAACAACTCATGGTTGAGAATAATCGACTCCACTGCCTCCTGCTGCGCCTGCCGCCCCGGCCCCCCTGTCCCATCGTCCTCCCCCCACGCGGTCACCTCCGGCTGTAACGGCAGATCCCACGAACCAGTCCCGTCCCGCCCCTCTATATAATCCCGGTGCGCAGCCCCTGCGTCGGCGAGAGCAACGGGACCGATCTGCGGCTCGAGCGTGTGGGTGATGGTGAAGTCATCGGACTTCATGGCGAGGTAGGGCGGGCGGGCGTCCATAGCGGTGAACCAGGCGTTGAGTGCAGGCCAGCGCGGGTTGCCGCGCACGGTGAGGCCCTTCCAGAAGGGGATGCTGGCTGCTGTGCGCTCCAGGAATGGCGCGTACACTGCATCGACCATGGAGAACTGCGTACGGGGGAGGGAAGAGGGACGGGGAGCGAGGTGTGGTGGAATGCTGTCGGATGAGAGGAGAAGAGTGGGAGAGGGACGGGGAGGAGGGATGGTGTGGCATTGCAGGGGAGTAGGAGGGGTGGAGCTGGTTGGATGAGAGGGGCATGCGGTACTGGCTGGCAGTGCTGGCTGGCAGTGCTGTTGGATAGTGGAAGCAGGTCGTAAGTGCATTCGTGAGAAACACAGGGGTGGTGCATTGCTAGATTCTCCACATATTCCACCCCATTGAATCCCATCCCACCACCCACCCCCTCTCCCCATCCCCCGCCCATCCCCCCTCCGCCCACCCCCTCCGCCCACCCCCTCCGCCCACCCCCTCCGCCCACCCCCTCCGCCCACCCCCTCCGCCCACCCCCTCCGCCCACCCCCTCCGCCCATCCCCTCCGCCCACCCCCTCCGCCCATCCCCTCCGCCCATCCCCTCCGCCCTTTCCCTCCACCCAACCCCAAACCCAACCCCCCACCCACACCCTCCACTTATCCCCCCACCCATTCCCCCACCCATTCCCCCCCCATCACCTGCTCGCCCATGAAGAGCGGCCCACCGCCCTCCAGCAGAGCCGCGTCCACGGCATTCAGCGCCTCCTCAAACATGCGCTGCCCCGCGCCCATCCCCCCTCCGCCTCCGCGCCTGAACATCCCCCCCATGAGTCCGCCCCCGCCGTCCCCCATGCGCGACCACTGCAGCCACGCGCCCGCCAGCTGCCTCTCCAGGCGCAGCAGCCGCTCCACCCGCTGCCATGCCGCGCGGTCCGAGGATGGCGGCAGCAGGGGCACGTGCGAGGGGAAAGCGCGCTCTATAGCGAACATGATGTCTAGGGATTCCGTTATCACCTTGCCGTCCAACTGGGGGCAGAGGGAGGAAGGTGGGGGGGAGGGGGTGACGGGGAAGAGGGGAGGACTGGTGCGAGTAAGGGGACGAGGAGAAGGGTGAAAAGGGACGGGCAGGGAAAGGAGGAGGGAGAATGGGGATAAAGAGTGAGAGGAGGTGGGAGAGAATCTGGCCACGGGGGGGGGACTTGTTAGGGAATGCATGCGGGCAGTAGAGCAGAGTGCATGGCAGTAAGAGGGCGGGTTACATGGGCAACATGGGCAGGCCATGATTTGAGTTGTGTAAAGCAAGGTGATACATTCATGTCTCGCCTTGTCTTGCATGTGGTGGTGTGATGAGTGGAGCAGCAGGCACATGCATGTGGTGGCAAGGACACACCGCGCAGCACAGGAAAGTGGACATGCAAGCCTGGGGGCCTCAAACACAGCAGGGACACACAGGCACGCACATGGGCACGCAGCGATGCATTACCTTGAGCACGGGCAGCAGGCCCGAGGGCACCATCTGCATGAACCAGTCGGGCTTGGGGCCGTAGCACCGCATGTTGATCTTCTCCACCCTGCCCGCCCGTGGCCGTGGCGCGAGGGCAAGAGTGCATGCGCGCGAGGGAGAGGGAGAGGGAGGGGGAGGGGCAGGGGGAGATAGGTAGAGAGAGAGAGGGGAAGGGGGGAGGAATAAGGGGGGTGGGGGGAGGGGAGGGGGGGCAGGGCAGACGATAGTGGACAATATAGACGGAGAGGGTGATGCTGGTGGAGAAATAGCAGCTAGGGGAAAGCTTGGTGTGGGAGACAACGAAAATGGCAAGAGGGACGCTTCGCACAAATGGATTTCTATGGCATACGAGATGGCACACGGCAAACGACAAACGGGCCACGGCTGAGCTGAGCTCACACGTAGGGAATCTGCTTCTCCTCCAGCTGCAGCCACACGCGCTCGCAGTACGGGCACCACGCGGAGTTATCGCGGTACAGCGTCACGCGCACGTCGCTCTCCGCCGAGCCGAACAGCCGCTGCGCCGCCTTAGACAGCCGCTCCCGCTGCCCCAGCGGCGCGCCCGCGCGCTCCTCCACCGTCGCACGCAGCTCCTCCAGCGACGGCACCGGCGACGTCGCCGCCGTCGCAGCGGCTGCAGCTGCGGTTACGGCGGCGGATCCGCGCCGCTCGGTTGATCCGGCCATGCGGGGCAGGCTGGCGCGCGGAGACACGGCGGAGCGATCCCTGGCCGCGGAAGACGTAGCGGAAGAGAGGGGGTGATTGTCAGGCCGTGCGAGTAATGGAACTACTTGCGTTGCGATTCCGCGAGATGATACCTTCGCACGTGCTCCGCGCAGTGCGAACGAGCCGCGCGAGAGGAAACAGGGACGACTGAGGGACATCGGCTGAGAATGCGGCTGGAGGACAGCTAGGTGCGAATCCGACGGCGTGGCAGTGGAGGTGGGCGCGCGGATTGGGGCCACGTGGCGTGCTGTGAGAGAGGTGGGAGAGGAGACGGATGCGGCGGAGAGGGCTCGTACAGGCAGCATGGGGAGACGGCGACGGACAATCTGGCTGAGACGGCGAATTCGGGAAAGGCGAACGGTGAATGCAATGGCGGCAAGTGTGTGGCAACAAATGGAAATGGAACCAGGTGGGAAGGAGAAGGAGATGTGACTAACCGAATTCAGAGTGACTGGCGAGATTGGTGACGTGGATGGATGTTTGGGGAAGGAGGGGGGAGGAGAAATAATCAGGGAGCGACGCGGAAGCTGTTGATTGGTTGGACGTGGACGATTCCTGGGATTTGGAAGGACAGACCACTCCGCTGAATGTGTGAAATTGATGGAAGGGAAGCACGTATGTTCTCGTTAGGGAAGGCCGCTTCATTGCAAATAACAAGTCAACAATGTAATATCTTTGTGGGCTATTTGTAGAATCAAGTCTCACATATGTATTCCCCGTTCATTGAGACATACTCCCCTTTAGAGTCAATAATCCGATCAATGTGTTCAAGCCAAACAGAAATATTAGTTTTGTGCCCTCGTTTTTTGGAAGTGTTACCTGAGTGTACTTGCCTCATTCAAAAAATGAACCGCACCGCATCGTACAACACTGTCGGATCCGAATTCGAGTGGCAAACAATTTATTGTCAGAACCTCAAGCCAGCCAGACAATCATCACCGCAATTCCCGCAGAAACGAGGTTGTATTCCGAATGACCGTGCGTAACCAAGAATTCGTGTTCTAAATTCTCGGTCCGCGAGTCGCCGTCGAACTTATCCCTGCTCGCATCCCGCCGCCGCCATCATGTTACCGTCGTCTCTTTTCCGAATCCTTGTCCTAACCGTAATGACGTCATCAGTGACACGTGTCCACTCGTGGTGGGCCGTTCCTCACATGGTACGACATCCAGGTGACGCCTTCTCTCGTGTGTTTTCATCTCAGCACGTGCCTATTGCTCCCGCGCTGACTTGCTGTCGTGCGTGAGAGGGAGAACGCACTTCCGTGTTGGAGCAGGTCTCCAACTCCACTCCAAGCTACCCTCGCCCCCGAGTTGTGCCATGCATTCCCGCCTCGCTCTCCGTCCCTGCATTAACCCCATGCACCCCTCCCGTGCACTCCCCTCTTGCGTTCCTGTCCTGACTGCGCTGTCACCACCTCAGGTCCCACCAGCATCCCTCATTTTCTCCATCTCCTCATCCGCCCAACCCCCTCTTCCCATCGTCCAATTACCCTCCGTCTCTACCCTCTATCTGACGCCCCTCCTCACCCTCTCTCCCCTCCCCTCCCTCTACGACGCCACCCTTGCCTGTTGGGGCGACATGCTGGGTGTGCGGTGCATGCAGGTGGTGGCGGACTTGGCATGGCTGCACATGAGCCCCACAGCGCAGCAGGCAGCCATGCAGGCACGTAGGCGTTTGCCCAGTGTGTGTGCTGCATGCCGTTCACACTACCTAATGCATGTCAATCACATACCACAACAGTGTATCCAATCCACGCCCCCATGCTGCATCCACGCCCCCATGCTGTATCCACGCCCCCATGCTGTATCCACGCCCCCATGCTGTATCCACGCCCCCATGCTGTATCCACGGCCCCATGCTGTATCCACGGCCCCATGCTGCATCCACGGCCCCATGCTGCATCCACGGCCTCATGCTGCATCCACGGCCCCATGCTGCATCCATGGCCCCATGCTGCATCCACGGCCCCATGCTGCCCCCATGGGGTGGGAGGATGCTCCCTCCTTGTATGTTGTACCACCATCCCACTCCGTCCTCTCTCCTCTTCCTCCTCCACCCCCCTTTCCCACCTCCCTCTTCCTTGCAGGCCCTCAGTCCCCTCAACCCCTTCTACCCCTCCCTCTCGTCCTTCCACGCATCGTCCATGTGAGTGCAAGGGTGCACGTGAGTGGTTGCAGCATGGGACAACCTAGCAACCACCCTTTTCTACGTCCTCCTAAGCAATAGTCGCTGCCACGTATTGCCATGGCACCTTAGTGGTTCTCACTCAATCGCCCATCCGCCATGTGAGAGCACGTCCCTCCTCTCACGGCATCTCACCCCTCATCACCTCTGTAGCAACATGGCCATGCGATTGCTTTTTCTCTGCTCTTCGTCTCATCCCAGGTTGTTCTTTATCTCTCCCCACATGTCTCCCCACATGTCTCCCCACATGTCTCCCCGCGAAGCCAGTCCACGCCAGCTCCTCAATCTCCTCTTCCATCCATGTGAACGAAATCTGTGCTCGTGCAGGCTCTGCCATTCCCCTCTATCTTCTCTTCCATCCTTACTGTTACGCCTGTGCTCATACCATGCCCTCATGCCCTGCCATGCCCTGCCATGCCATGCAATACTCTGCCATGCCCTGCCATGCCCTACCCTGCCATGCCATGCAATACTCTGCCATGCCCTGCCATGCCCTGCCATGCCCTACCCTGCCATGCCATGCAATGCTGTGTGGTGTGCGGTGGCATGCATGGGCATCAGATGGTTGGATGTCATCAACACCACGGTCATGCCTGCCTTTCAACCCTGGTAACCACCCACCCGTTCCTCCCTCCACACCATTCGCACCGCACCTTGCATCCTTGCAGCATTTGATCCCTCGTATACTATCCCATTCGCTGCACCACTGTATGCCCTGCCATTCCCTCCACTGCCTCTCCATTTCTCCCAACCTCTCCTACTCACTTTTGCACTTGCCTCATCCTTGCATCCTTTCACACGCTATACCATACATGCCATGCCATGCCATGCCATGCCATGCCATGCCATGCCACACGGAGCAGGCACTACTCCCTCTCCGCCCTGCCTGCCTCCTCGCCTGGCATGTCCCAACCACCTTCACCAGCACCACCGGTACCAGGTATTCTCGCACCCCACTCCTCATTCCCCACACCCTGCATCCCACACCCCACACCCCACACCACACACCGCCCATGCCTCCCCGGCACCGTCCCACCAGCTGTGCCACTCTTACTCCCCCATCGCTCCTCCTACATGCGCCACCCCTCTGCCAACCTCTCCCCCCTGCTCCCCCATTGTCCCCTGCCTGAACCATGCTTCTCCTTCCCTTCTCCCTTGCTCTTTGCCGCATGCGTCTCCCTCGCTTCTCTGCTGCCACTCCTCTCCTCGTTACTGCTGTTCCCTCTTCTCCAACCCCCCCCCCCCCCCCACCCCACACGCCCCCCCCGACACGCTTGCTCCTCCCCCACATGCCCCCCCCCCCACACGTCTCTCCCTCACAACCCCTCACACACCCCCCTCCCCCACACCTCTCCCCCGTGCAGTGCCGGCGTCGCTGGTGGCTGTGCTCAGCAGCGCGCTGGCTGCAGTGCGCTGGCTGCCCCACCTACTCCTGCCCCTTTTCCTCCCTGCCCTCCCCCCCTTCCCCCGCGTGCAGCGCCGGCGTCGCTGGTGGCTGTGCTCAGCAGCGCGCTGGCTGCCCTGCAAGGCGACCACATCGATGTGTGCGTGGGGGCAGGGGGGGACAGGCAGGGGGGAGAAGGGGCAGGAGTAGGTGGGGCGAGGGAGCAGAGCAATTGGGATTGGCAAGGGAGTGTGGGAGCTGGTATGTGTACGGGGTGGGGTGTGCTGGGTTGGGAGTGGGAGAAAGGAGCTTTCTCTTATGTTCCCCCCTCCCCAACTTCCTCCCCAACTTCCTCCCCAACTTCCTCCCCAACTTCCTCCCCAACTTCCTCCCCAACTTCCTCCCCAACTTCCTCCCCAACTTCCTCCCCAACTTCCTCCCCAACTTCCTCCCCAACTTCCTCCCCAACTTCCTCCCCAACTTCCTCCCCAACTTCCTCCCCAGCTGTCCGTCCATCCTCATGTGTACCAACGAGCCTGCACCCTGCTCATGCTTCTCTTCACTCCTTCCACCCGCACCCCTCCCCTCCTTCCCTTCACCTCCCCCCGTGCCTGCCCTATTCTCTGTGTCTGCCCCCTCCTCGCATGTGTGCAGCTTTGGCCGTGCCTTTGTGCTCCGAGTGCTGCTCAACCTGCTCGCTGACCTGCACCAGGTGACGTGGCATTGCACCAGGTGACGTGGCATTGCACCAGGTGACGTGGCATTGCACCAGGTGACGTGGCATTGCATCAGATGACGTGGCGTTGCACCAGGTGACGTGGCACTCCATCAGAACGACCTGGCATTGCTTTTCCTCTGCTCCAGCCCCCCATCTCCCTTCCACCTCCCCCTCTCTCTCGCCCTCTCACCCCACCTCTCGTGAACGGTCCTCTGCTCCAACCAACTATGCACATCCCTCCCTCTCAACCTCCCCACCTTCTCAACCCCATGCGCCCCACGTACAGCCACTGCACTGCGCCGACAGGCAGCACGTGGGCGGGGGCGAGGCAGCAGGCGGGGGCGTGGGGGCGGGGGAGGGGGTGGGGCCCGTGGGGGGCGGGGGGTGGGCGCGGCAGGTGGCAGTGGAGCAGTACGTGGTGGATGAAGCCGACACGCTCTTTCACTTCTGGTCCGCCTCCTCGCCTCCCCCTGCCTCCCTTCCACACCTCCCGCTGCCTCCTCCCTTCCACACCTGCCCCGGTGCCGCTCTCTTGCTCCGCGTGCTGCTGCTATGTGCTGCTCTGTGCTGCTATGTGCTGCTCTGTGCTGCTATGTGCTGCTCTGTGCTGCTATGTGCTGCTCTGTGCTGCTCTGTGCTGCTCTGTGCTGCTCTGTGCTGCTCTGTGCTGCTCTGTGCTGCTATGTGCTGCTCTGTGCTGCTATGTGCTGCTCTGTGCTTCTATGTGCTGCTCTGTGCTGCTATGTGCTGCTCTGTGCTTCTATGTGCTGCTCTGTGCTGCTATGTGCTTCTCTGTGCTGCTATGTGCTGCTCTGTGCTGCTATGTGCTGCTCTGTGCTGCTATGTGCTGCTCTGTGCTAGTGTGTGGTTTCCGCATAATCAAACAGCAAAGACAGTCTTTACACACACACACACCCCGCCATCCGTCTATCTCGTGTGCTAATCTCTCCTCCCCCCGCTCCTCATCCCCCCACCCCCCACCTCCATTCCGTGCTCTCCCCGCGCTGCTAACCCCCCTGGTGAGCGGCAGGGAGGCAGCAGGGGGGGCGTTTGAGGAGGTGGCGGGGGCGGTGAGGGGCGACAATGCACGGCCAGCAGCAGCGTTTCACGTGGATGAGAGGGACGTGCGCGCCGCTGCCCTCGCCCTTGCTGCCCAGTTCCCGCTCTCCGCCTTCACTCCACGCGAGGTCAGTGCGCTGTGTGCTCCATGTGTGCTCGCTGCATGGCTGCATGGTTGCATGGGTGTATGAATGCACCCGCATGGGTGCATGGCTGCATGGGTGCATGGCTGCATGGGTGTATGAGTGCACCCGCATGGGTGCATGGCTGCATGGGTGCATGGGTGCATGGCTGCATGGCTGCATGGGTGCATGGGTGCATGGGTGCATGGGTGCATGGGTGCATGGCTGCATGGGTGCATGGCTGCATGGGTGCACGCGGCTGAGATCTCTCTCTGCTTCATGACTTTTTATTCCCCACAGCCCACGCGCCGCCTCCCCCACGCGCAGCCTCCCCCACGCCTCATGGTGCAACAAATGTCCCCCCATGGCATCAGGTGCAGGAGGTGGATGTGGCAGCGTGGGCAGCAGGCAGCGGCAGCATGACGGCATCCGTGGTGTACTCTGGTCCCCTGCACACCGCTGCTGCACCATCATCAGCATCAGCATCAGCATCGGTGCCTGGGACGGCTAGCCCCGTGCTGCTCACACACGACTACAACATCCATGTTCAGGCGTGTCTTGCTCCCCCTCTCTCCCCCTCCTTCTCTGCTCTCCCTCTCCTTCTCTGCTCTCCCCCTCACTCGCCTATGCGATCTGCAAGGCACTCACCATGTCTGTATTGCTCTGCCCATCCCATCCTGCCCCGAACCCATACCTTCTCAACTCCATCACCCTCCCTGCCCCTGCTTCTTCCCACCCGATCTACCCTCACCCCACCATCCTCCTCCCACAAACCTCGCCTCATCCCTCTCCCATCCCCCTCTCACACCACCCCACCTCTCGCTCCCCCTCCGCACATTCTCCTCGCATCCCCCCTGACCCCTGTGGCATCAGGAGGTGGCCAAGTCACAGTTGGCACTAGCAGCATACCGCCTGGCAGCGCTGCTCAATGCGTCCTTCCCACAGCCACTCTCCCAGGACCCAGACACCTACTCCCCCTGCATATCACTGCAGGACGCAGGTCTGCCATACCCTTCCGTTCCGCTCGCTGCTCCCTCTCCGCTCGCTTGCTAGGGCCCTCTTGCCTTTGCTCTTGCTTCGCTCACTCCCTGCCTTCGTGCCGCCCTTTTACCCCTCTCCTCTATTCGTCCATGCCCCCTCTCCCCCAGCTCTCTCTTTCCTCCTCCTCGTTTGCTGCCTTTTCTTTTCTCCTACCCCTTACTCTTCACCCCTCCCTCAACCCTCCCTCAACCCTCCCTCACCCACTCCCCATCCACTGCCGTCCGCACTTGCCCCACAACCACCACCGGCCATCACCACACAAGCAGAGGAGCGGGGGGCGAGGGCGGCACCTCTACTGGCAACGGCGCTGGGCATGGCAGTGGCAGTGGCGCTGGCGCTGGTGGTGATGCTGTACAGGGAGAGGGAGAGCATGCAGAGGCAGATGAGGGACTTGCAGCAACTCGTGCACCAGGACCCGCACAGTCCCTCCGGGGGACTGCTTGCCTCCTCCCAGGGCTTGTAAAGCGGGTCATGGGTGGGCGGGGGGGACGGTCGGGCGGAGGGTTTTCGAAAAGCAGTTTTTTTTCAGGGATGTGGTTTTAGGAGGGCGGTGGCACGGGCTGGTGTTGTGATTGTGCAGTAGATGTGGTGATTGGGGTTGCAGATAGATTTACACTTTGCATTGCCGGCCGAGTTTGCAGTGATGATCATTATGTTTGGTTATAATTGTGTATAGTCAGAGAACCGAATTCAGTACAGTAAGAAGCAACTGTTGATGAACCTTTCCTTGCTCGTGTAATGAAATTAGTACTCACCAGAAAACGTACCGTAGCAATGCGTCCATAAGTCTGACAAACTCAAGCCTGTTCACCATCGGGTTCTGCCATCTGTAGTTTTTCCAACACAACCCTTACCCATCACCGGATAGCCCTGTCTGTCCCAACCGCCTGCATGCTTTCCATTCCATGTGTCTGCATACTTACTAACTAGATCACTAAGGTGTACCTCTTTACTAGCTCATCTCCACAACGACAAACCCTGTAACAGCCACGCCCAGCCCACTCTCCTTGAGAACCGGAACCTCTGGGCAGGGCGATTTCCAGGCAACTACCAAAAATGGGCTGCCTACATGCTGACTACCAAACGGTCTGGTGCTGCGTGCAAACATGTGGGGGAGAACTAAGCTGAGGGGAGGAGGAGAGGAGAGCAGGGCAGAGAGGAAGGCCGAGGAAAGGAGAGCCTGCTGGTCCCACGTTGCGTGGTGGTGCCAGGGGAGTGCGAGCAAGCAGACACAGCAGGAGGGGTGCCGAGCTGTGCCTATGCAGCAGCTGTGGCAGCAGCGGGGGCAGCAGCGGGGGCGAGAGTGCGTCGCTTGTATCGCACCATGACAGGCCCCTTGGGCCCCACAACGAGCGAGTCCCAGTCGACCGGGGGGAAGGGCGTGATGAGCTCCAGCTCAAAGTTGCGCAGCAGCACACTCCACACCGTCTTGCCCTGGGGGGAGGGAGAGGGAGGAGGAGCGGAGAGGAGAGGAGAAGGTGCATTGGTGAGAACAGGTCTGGAGAAGGAGGGACGAGGAGGGGGAAATGCTGGGTTGAAGGTACTGGCGGAAGGAAGAATGATGCTTGGTGTTTGTGATTTCTCTGCGCACATGGCGAATGTTGGAGTACACGGCAAGGGAAGAATATGGCCCGTATGCCATGCTCCCACCTGCACCTCCTCACAACTCTCGCCACACCACCCCACAAACAACCCCCGCCACCTCACAATACCCCTCATTCCTCATTCTCCCCTGCCCAATTCCCTCCTCTTCCCTTCCATCAACCCCCCTCCCTTTCTCTCCCTCCCTTATTAATCTCAAGCATCCTTCTCTATCCCCCTCCCAGATTGCACCCCTTCCCACTCCCCACGTCTACCTGCATGTACGCAAAGTTCATTGACAAAAGTCTACACTCGCAATCCTCACCAGTTGCTCCCTTTCACTCTCTCCCTCCTCGCTCTTTCTCCTCTCACCCTCATTCCTCTCCCCCTTTCCCTCTCATCCTCCCCACTTCTCTCTCAACCCCCCTTCCCACCCCCCTCTTCTCTCCCCTTCTTCCCTCTTCCATCTCCCCTCCAGCCTCCATGCAAGCCAAGTTGTCCCCCATGGGAGAGAGTACCCCGCATGCACATTGACGGCCACCTCCTCCTTCTCTCCCACCCTCACATCCCCCCTCCCCATTCACCCCCTGCCCTCACATCCTAAGTTGGAAAAAACGCGTTTCGCGTTTAGTACGCTTTCGTATAAACGCTAGCGTCTAAACGCAAAACGCTCGCCGGGAGGGGTCTGGTACGCACAAGAATCCGCTTGTCCGGGCAGGAAAAAAAAATTCCCCGGGCATGGAAACGGGAGCTGCTGTAGTAGTCCACTACCTAGCTCCTGCTAGTAGGTCATCGTCGCAAGTGAAATAAGAAGGGGAGGAAGAAATCGAACGCAGAGAATATCGACGGGAAAAGCGGCCTGACATTGAGTGGGGAGGATGAGTCTGGTAGAAGTTGGCAACAAATTGGATGGGGTGGAGTGGGTTGTTGAGCGGTGGATAGGAGGGGATGATCCACCAATCAATCTCGAAATTCAGATCTGAAGTCGCATTTGCAATGCGCGAACTCGGGTCTGAATTTCGAGGCTCAAATTTGAGTTCGCCAGATCGCGAACTCAACTGATATTTTTTTTACGGTCAGCCCGAACGAAACTTGGCGAATTTTAGGAAAATCCGCAGCGTACGAATTCTAGATGCGTATAAACTCACTACGCAATCTCAAAGTAGCGTTTTTTCCAACTTAGCTCACATCCCCCCTCCCCATTCACCCCCTGCCCTCACATCCCCCCTCCCCATTCTCCCCCCTGCCCTCACATTTCCCCCCCCCCCCCAACACCTGCATGGCCACTGCCCCCCTCCCCCTTCTCTCCCCCCTCTCTCATCTCTCCCCCCGCACCTGCATGTACGCGAAGTTCTCCCCCATGCACCCGTGGCGCCCCCCCCCAAAGGCGGTGAAGGAGAAGGGCATGGCGCGGTCCTCCTCACGCCCCGCAGCGAAGCGCTCCGGGTCGAACTCGTCCGGCTTGCTGTAGATGTACCCCAGCCTGCCAGCCACCGTGTGCATGGGAAGGGATGTGGCAGGGGGAGGGGGCATGACAGGGAGGGGACAAGACACGGAACGAGGAGGTGAAGGATGGTGCAAAGCGGTTCGGGTGAAGCTCGTCCGGCTTGCTGTAGATGTACCCCAGCCTGCCGTGCCCCAAGTGTAGCGAGAGGGATGTGAGAGGGGTGGGTGCATGTGGTCAAGTCAGGGAATGAGGAGGTGAGGGATGGTGAAGGGCATGCCGCAGCGACGAGGGACGTAGTGAGAGAGGTGCCACTCGCTGTCATGCGGGCTGTGAGTGCTGTGAGTGCACACACAGTGACCGCGCCCCCCTGCTCAACCAGTCGCCCACTGCCACCAGCGATGCCACAGGTGTCAACAGCAGGTAACCACTGGCACACAGATAGACACCCTAAGCTGTGGTTCCTTCCTGACATGACATGACATGACATTCTCTCTCTTTCAAGTTAGAGATAGGGGCAAGCCAAGCCACACGGGCCGCATTTTTCCTTTACTGGTTCGTATCAACTACCTCCCTGCCTGTTCCTTCGCCCCGTCTTCTCTTTCCCCCCTTTTCCTACTCCTTGTAAGCATGCATGTCAAGCGGGTCAAGCGGGTCAAAAGGGGGCGGCAGCAACAACACTCCCTGCGGGCACCGTAAGACTTGCCCTCATGCCCGGTCAAGCCGGTCAAACCAGTCAAGCAGTCAAGCCGGTCAAACCAGTCAAGCAGTCAAGCGGTCAAACCAGTCAAGCAGTCAAGCGGTCAAACCAGTCAAGCAGTCAAGCGGTCAAACCAGTCAAGCAGTCAAGCGGTCAAACCAGTCAAACAGTTAAGCGGTCAAACCAGTCAAGCAGTCAAGCGGTCAAACCAGTCAAGCAGTCAAGCGGTCAAACCAGTCAAGCAGTCAAGCGGTCAAACCAGTCAAGCAGTTAAGCGGTCAAACCTGTCAAGCGGTCAAGTCAGTCAGACCTGTCAAGCCTCATACGGCGTGCTCAGCTCATTCTAAACCACCCTTTGCCTTTCCCACTCCCCCTCCTCCCCCTCTCGCTCCCCCCCCAACTCCCGCCCCCCCTCACCTGTTGCTGAAAGCAGGCGCGGCAGCAACAACAGTCCCCTTGGGGACAGTGTACGTCTTGCCCTCATGGCCAGTCACAGTGAAGGGCTGCTGCGCGTAGCGGAGCAGCATGACGAGCGGCGGGTGCAGGCGCAGCACCTCCTTCATGACGCGGTGCAGCGAGTCCATTTCGCTCAGCACGTCGTAGTTCAGCGTGCCCCCGTGCCGCCCCATCACCGCCTGCTGCTCCGCTACCACGCCCGCCAGCACGTTGTCCCGCCGCCTGGAAAGGGGGGAAAGGGGAGCGGAGGGAGCAGGGAGGGGAATGGAATAGGGGGAGCGAGGGGGGGGGGGGGGGGGAGAGGGGGAGGGCGGTTAAGGAATGGGAAGGGTGGGAGGGAGGGGTTTCAGGGTGGAGCGATGGAATTTGCGTGCAGAGTGGGAAGGAGTGTGCGTGGGACAAGTGAGGGCAGGTGAGGTGCATGGGGTGAGTACGTGGCAAGCCATGCAGTGCGCGAGACGAAGCATGATGGTCCCGCATGTTCATCTCATCCCATCCCATCCCATCCCATCCCATCCACCTACTGCGCCACTGCCCCGTCCTACTGCATCCCACCCCACCCAATTCCACCCCCTCCCCTTTCCAACCCCCTCTCTCTTCCTCAACCCTCCACCGCCCTCCCTACCCGTCCCTCCCGTTCAATCCCTTCCCCTTTCCTCCATCAACCCCCAACATCAACCCCCCTTCCCGTTTCCCCCCTTCTCCCCGTCCCAACCCCCCCCCCCCATCCACATTCCCATCCCCCCGGCTTGCGCACGTGAGGAGGTAGGCGCCGACCCAGGTGGCGGTGAGCGAGGAGGTGTGCTGGCCGCCGAAGAGCGCGGCAATGAGCATGCCCGCGCACTCCTCCTCCGTCGTGCTGCGGTTCAGCAGCTTGTACCGGCTGTCTATGAACACCTGCGCGCGCACGGGCGGAGGCGGAGGGGGGCGCGGGGAACGGGGGGGAGGAGAGAGGGGGAAGGAGCCGGAGGGATGGCCCGGTTTTAGGCGAGAATCAAAATTATAAGGAGGGGGGTGAGGGGGAGAGGGGTTTAGGGAAGAAAGGGGGAAGGGGAGATAATGATAAGTGATAAAGGGGCGGAGAGACGGTGGGTGGACAGGGGGAGGGGGGGAGGGGGGTCCAGGGGGGGAAAGAAGGGGAGGGGTCCTGGAAAGGGATGGGGGGACGGGGAGAACGTGGGGGAATTGGGTGGGAGGGGCGAGGGGGAGAGAGAGGGAGGAGAGAGTTAGCGCAGAGAAGGGGGGGCGTGAGAGAGAAAGGGAAGAGAAGACGAAGGGTGGGGAGAGGGGATGGAAAGTGAAAATGAATCCGGCGGGGTGGGAAAGCAAGAAAGGAGAGGGACCTGAAACTCACTGGAAGGGGGAAGATTAGGGTAAGGGCAAGGGGAAGGGGAAGGGGAAGGGGAAGGGAGAAGGGGAAACGGGAAACGAGAAACGAGAAACGGGAAGGTGGGAGGGGTTGGGCGGTGGAAAGAGCTGGCTGATGTGTGTGCTGGAAAGTTCAATGTACAACTGTTGAGACTTCTCAAACCTCCACCCGCGACGTTGCCCAGGTACCTTGTTTCTGTAGGTCGTCTCTTGAGAACACTAAAACGCCGATCCACTGCCCGCTCCTCACATTCCCCCCCGCGCCTCACACCCACCCACTCCCCTTCCCCCTCCCCTTCACCCCTCCCTCCCCCCTAACCCCCCCCTCCTTACACTATCGGCGCATCTCTCCCTCCCCGCGCCTCACCTGCAGCATGTCATTCTCGACGCGCCCCGACTCCTTGCGCGCGCGCACGATTCGCCCGAAGATGCCCGCCAGCTCCTTGCGCGCCTCGTCGCGGCGCTTGTGCGCGGGGATGGGCAGATAGGGGAAGAGGACACTGCGGGGTGGGGCGGGTAAACGGGGGACGGAGAAACGGGAAGGGTGGAAGGGGACGGGGGCGGAAGGGGGGGGGGGGAGAGGGGGGGGAGCGCCAGTGTTTAGTGAAACGGCTTGATAAGATGCCAAAGCCCGGCCGCAAGGTCCAATCCGGTACAAAGAGGTGAGACGGCCCAATCGTTGCGTTGCTGTTTGACCAGCTTGTTGAAAGCAGGTCCGCGGCGGCAGGGAGTGCGACGGAGAACGAGCAGAGGAACAGCCCGTGGCAGCACTGACACTGACACGGACACGCCAATTCGATCCATTGAATGCACGACGACGCGCACGATCAAGTACAATACCATTCCGCCTGATCTTGCTTCTTATGGTTTGTGTTGAGCACAGGAACTCACACACGCATTCGCCCGCGACGCGCACCTGATGGGCAGCATGCCGAGGTCGAGCGTGTGGAAGAGGTCGGAGACGCGGTCCGCCATGCCCTCGCGCACCTCGCGGCCCAGCAGGCAGCGGCTGGCCGTGAGGATGATGAGGCGCGCCATGGCGTCCTTCAGATCCACCTCGCCCTCGTCGCCCCACTGCGAAAAGAAATCCTGCGCGCGGCGAGAAACGAAAGGGGGAGACCGGGGGACAAGGGGCGGGGGGCCGGGAGAGAGAGAAGGAGGGGACGAGGTTCAAGAGAGAAAGTGAGAGGAAGAGATGGTTGCGGAGGGTATGGGCATGAAGGGAGAGGCGCTTGTGAGGGTGTGGGGGGCTGGACATGAAGCGCATGGATGCAATGCAGTGGCGACGGGATACTCGGGCTCGCGAAGGCGATCCGCGGAACGGGCGACACGTGTGACAAGTGAAAGACGACGCGTGATCCGCGACAGGCGGCGGCGCGGCGAGATCGAGATAAAGAAAGCTGGGGACAGAAATGCAGAAGCACAAGGGCGCAAGGGACGGAGAAAGAACGAGGACGCAAGGGCAGAGGCGGCGGGCGAGACCAGCACAAGAGACGCAAAACTCGAAGCGAGGAAACCGGACACACGATACCGAAGCACGATCGTCACCCGATCTCACCCGATCCCGCCCGTCACCCCCACAGCCACCACCATCACCCATCGCCATCCCAATCCCCATCGCCCAAATTTCCCCGCCTGCGCGACGCTCACACCTGCGCCTCCTCCACCATCATGTCGACGTAGGTGCGCAGGCGCGTGGGCTTGAGCGAGTCGGCGAAGAACCGAAACTGCTCCATGCGAATCGGGTAATCCACGTCGAACACGACGCCCGGGCCGAACGTGGGCACGTTGTACTTGTACACCTCGCGCTGACTCAGCTGATCCTCCGACGCCTTGTAGAAATGCGTCGTCGCCTCGGGCCCGATCAGGAACGTCATGCGCATGTGGAGCACGTTCACGGTGAACACGCTGCCGTACTTGGCATACGCGTCTTTGATCAGCGGGATCGGGCCTTTCAAGAATTTTAGCAGCCCGCCTATGAGCGGGATGGTTGGGACCACGGGCGGTTGCTTTCCGCCGCCGCTGCGGAACCATCGCGCGACGAACACGGCGAGGATCGCGGCGACTAGGAGGGTCGGTGCGAGGGATTTGAGGAGGGCGAGCGGCGCGGAGGATTCTAGGAAGGCGGCGTTGGCCGTGGCGTTGCCAATGCCGGCTTCAATGCCTTCTGCCATGGCTGCAGCTGCCTGCGGCTGGGCAGCGAGGATCTGAGCAGCACGCAGGACGCAGCACGCTGATCCAGAGTCAAGTGGATCACGCGATGGAGAAAGAGATCGAAGGGAGCAACGAGAAGAAAGGAAGGAGCTAAACCTTGTTTGCAGCTGCATGCAAAGGGGTTCGCGACCGATACACTAAAGGCGTGTTCATAGCCAGATCCTCGTTCCCTGTGCTGTACAGAGAGAGCTTCTTGTTCTATTGCTCGGTAAAATAAAGCTGTGATCTTTGTACGACGTGTGGGGGGAACCACTCAATCGAGCGTGCGGAAAATGTGCGAGTGGGGGCGGGAGGGTGAAAGGAATGTGCGGCCAATGTCATTTCCCAATCGTTCTCGCCAATCATCACGGCAAGGCCAATGTGTGAGCCCCTTTGCAAGGCCAATCAGCGTTTGTCAAGATGGCAATGTCCACAATCGCAATCGAGAAACTATGAATGTGCCACGTCAGATTAGGTGCCCCCTTCCCATAATCGAGGTCCAGCTCATTTGCGAACCAATGAATGCCGAAATTCAAAGCTCCAGCTGTGGCGAGGAGGTCGAGGCTCGCTGATCCAGAAGGCGGGAAATGCGTCAGCAGAATTCTCAATAAGAAGGGCGCATTCAATGCGTGGACAATATCGAGTCGGTTTCCCTACCTTGCGTCGCGCGTTTTCATATTTTACACCCGGTTAGGGGAAGCTCATTACCACGACAATTATTTCGAATTCACATGAGTACAGTTGCACATGTAATGTAGGAAGATACTAGACACCTGCAACAAAAATATTCCTCCCTACCTCCACATATGATTTCGAACACCCCTACTGGTATTCGCGAAACTAGCGTTGGGAACTGTAAGGCGTCTCCACCTCACTAAAACTACTTTTCTCGCGGACAGCCATGTCGCCGCACCCTCCCGCGCCCGCCTCGTCGTCGCAGGCGACGGTGGAGCTGGGCGCAGCGATCGAGCGGTCGCTGTCGCGCGTGCACGAGTTGGAGCGCACCGTCTCGCTCTTCAACGAGTCCAACCAGCTGCTCCTCCTCGACCGCATGTCCGTCGCGCTCGCCCTTTCGCTCTCGCCCGTCTCGTTCAGCGAGCCGCTGCGAGCCGCAACTAGCCATGAATTACCTCGCGCAGCATTTTGAGTGGACGCGAAAAGGCACCTAGTCCGTTCGGCGAGACGCAGCTAGTATCTATTCCTACTTACCGCGCTCTGCTCCTCTTCTATCTCCTGCGTTCCTCTTTTTCCTTGGTCTCGTCCCCCAACATGCAACGCACGCCAGTCCATGACTCCAATCAGCCTCTCTCCTGCGCGCTTCTCCCTCTCGCGTTTCTCGCTCTCTCACCCACTCCCATCTCCCATCGCCCCTCCAGCCTCTCAAGCTCCGCTCATCCTGTCCCTCTCCTCTCTCTTCCCCCCCCCGCTTCCCCCCCCCCTCCCCTCCCCTCCCCCCAACGCTCTCCCCCCGTGCCAGCAACGGCCTGGTCACGGGGTTCGCGGAGCTACTCGGCGCTGCGGAACAGTGCGAGGCGCATGTGCCGCTGGACGTGCTCAGGTGATTGCAACAGAGGGTGTAGAGGAAGCCAGAGCCTTCAGGTGTTTGCCACAGAGGCCGGCCGTAGAGAAAGCCAGAGCGCACGCGCGAGGTCGGGTGGGGAAGCAGGGGAGGAGGCGTGGAGAGAAGGCGTTAGTTACAGCCATGCCACGGCTGCACTGCGGCCATGCCACGGCTGCACTGCGGCCATGCCACGGCTGCAGCAGCAGTAGAACGGGACGCACGATGCATGGGGCCATGCCATGCCACATCTTGCGGAACCGTGGGGGAACGTGGGAGGCGGGCGATGGTGCAAAGACGTTGAATGCGGAGTAGCTGTGTGCTGCTGACTTGACATGCCTGTCTCGGGCACTGTCTTGCCCGACTAGACATGTGCTTTGATCACACTCATGACCTGCACTGCGTCTGTGCTGCTGCTGCTGCTGCCGCTGCTGCTGTGGGTGGCAGGTGTGTGGACGAGGGGCGCAATCCGAACGAGGTGACGAGGGAGCTGCTGCGGGGCTGTGTGGCGCACAACGCCACCACCAAGGGCAAGGTGGACGCCTTCAAGGTCCGCCACGCCTCCCTCGCACTCTCCACTGCGCCTCCCACACTCGGGTTTTCCAGGAAGTGCCACGCGCTTGCTTGCTCGGCCTTTCTGCAGGGGGGCGTGGAGGTTTGGGAGAGGCAAGGGGGGTTAGCGGCCGTTGGATGAATGCATGGGGTGTCATGATGACGGCATGCTGGTGGGGGGCATGGGGGCATGAAGACATTAGCGCGTGGGGGCATGAGGCATGAGAGCATGAGCGCATGAGAGCATGAGGGCATGCGAGCATGGGAGCATGAGCACAGTACCGTATGGCACACACTCCCCATCACCCGCGCCTTGCGTCTCCTCTCCCCACCGCACCCACCCCTCCTCCCCCCGCCCTATATACCCGCCCTGCGTGGCAGCAGGCGCTGCGAGCGCAGGTACTGAGTGAGATGGACCGAGTGTTCCCCGAGGAGACCGAGGCCTACCGCGACCTGCGCCTGCACTCCCTGCAGGCACGTGCCTTCCTGGGGTGAAGAGGGGAACGGGCGGATGGGGGGGTTTGCTCGTTCAAATAGAGGGAGAGGGCGGTGGAGCAAGTGCAAGCTGGGGGCAAGGGAGGTCGCGGAGAATGCTCGTCCTGCTGCTGCCGCCGTCGCTGCCGCTGCCGCCGCTGCTGCTGATCCTGTTGCTGCCGCCGGCGCCGCCGCCGCTGCTGCCCCTGCTTTTCTACTTCTGCTCGTTTCTGTTCACTCGTTCGCCTGCACCTGCTTTTTGTTTTCCTCCTTCTCCCCTCTCCCCCCCCCACCCTTCCTCCTCCTCCTCCTCCTCCTCCTCCTCCTCCTCCTCCTCCTCCTCCTCCTCCTCCTCCTCCTCCTCCTCCCTACCGTTGCTTTCCCCCTCCCTCTCTCCCTCCTCAACCGAATCCTGTGCTTGGATCATGTACCGAACCTCACGTTCCTTCTCTTTCACACCAACCCACCATGTTCTCCGTTCTTCGTCGCGGTTTGCCGGTCTTCCCACTTGTGGCACTGACCTGTTGGGTTGAGCAGCTTGTGCGTCAGGAAAGGGAGGCGACTAAAGCAGCTGAGGAGGCAGCTAAAGCAGCAGTGGCAGCCAAGGCAGCAGAGGAAGCAGCAAAAGCGGCAGAGGCAGCAAAGGCAGCAGAAGAAGCGGCTAAAGCAGCAGAGGCAGCAAAAACAGCAGAGGAAGCAACCAAAGCAGCAGAGGCAGCAAAAACAGCAGAGGAAGCAGCTAAAGCAGCAGAGGCAGAGAAAGCAGCAGAGGAAACAGTGGCAGATCAAGCACAGGAGACAGCACAGAAGGCAGGAGATGTGAGTGCGGAGAAAGAGTGTGTGATGGAGGTGAATGGTGGCGGTGTGAATGAGAGGGGCGAGGGAGCGGAGGAGAGGGGAGATGTGAAAAAGCAGAACCAAGGGGAGGCCACAGGGGTGTGTGGTGAAAGCGGTGTGCTTACTGCAGCTGTTGCTGCCGACCCTGCTACTGCTGCTGCTGCTGCTGCTGCTGCTGCTGCTGCTGCTGCTGCTGCTGCTGCTGCTGCTGCTGCTGCTGCTGCTGCTGCAGGTGCTGATGGTGCTGTGGGTGCTATGAATGCTGATGCTAGTGCTGTCAAGGCAAGTGGGCAAGCAGGGCCAAGTGTGAGGACTGAAGACACACTGAAGGCAGACGGGTGTGCCAGTAACAGCATTCCAGGGCTGGGGGCTGTGGCAGCAGCAGCAGGTGCTGGAACACATGATCTCACTCGTGATAGTATACCTGGTGCACCGGCACCAGATGCTGCTGCTGCTGCTGTGGGTGCTTTTCCTGCTGCTGCTTCTGCGGGTGCTGCTGCTGGTGCTGCTGTTGGTGCTGCTGATGATTCGGCTGCTCCTGGTGTAGGTGCAGGTGGCCATGGTGATGATATGGAGATGGTGGAGTGGGATGATGATGATGGGAACGATGGATCAGTGGCTGTGATGCAATCAGGAGGTGAAACAGGTGTGATAGTGGAGGAAGAAGGTGTGGGAGGAGCAGTATTGGAGAATGGGAAAAGGAAATCAGACGATATTTTGGTTAGCGAAGAGAAGAAAGCGAGGGAGGATTCTGGATCAGTTGATGCGGGAGTTGGCAAAACTGTCTTCATAGAAGCCAGTCGGAAAGAGGAGCTGTAGAAACAGTGAATGAGGGCTGAAGCTGTTCTTTCTATCGCTTGTTGGTATGCTGCCTTAAGCTTCGTGAAAGTTGGCATTCCCATTCGTTTAACCCTTCTCAAGCATGGCCAGGTTCGAAATATGACCTCAACCAACGTCACAGGTTGATTTAGGGGGTCATGCCGTATCTGGGGCTTGTGAAAAAACGTGTGGTGGCAAATGAACTTCTAGCCCTACATGCGGCTGCCTGCAAGGTTTCCAATTTTGGCATATCAAATAATGAATTACCTTTACAGAACCATAATTGCGATAAACCCATAGCATATGAGTGAAACAAAGAAAATGGTGTCAAACATTATATGTTTGTGCTATTTAGGCTATAGTGGGGTAGCCTATGAGGGGTACAACCCATTTAGGGTTAGTACTTGTACGAATCTCTTTCATAGTTCATTCATTTTCGTGTTCCTTAGTTTTGACATGGTTTCAGAGCGGTTCTCTCCGTAGGACCGACGTTATTCTTTAGGGTCCACAGTTCGTTCCGCCCTGCCCGAAATTTCTGCCCTGCCCGTAACGATCGCGACCCCCCCTGCCCGCTAGCGCTGCCCACGCTGCCCGCACACTGCCTACGCACTGCCTGCGCGCTGCCCGCACGCTGCCCACGCGCTTCCCGTTCCCTGCACGCAGCCCCGCGCGCGCTGCTCTGCCCCGCACGACCGCACCCTGCCCTGCGCGCTGCCCTGCACGTGCACTGCCCGTGCCCCCCGCACGCTGCCCGCTGCTGCGCTACTGCCGCGGTGCCGCCCGCCCACGGCCCTGCGTAGCCTCTGCCCAGCGCTGCCGCCTGTGCTGCTGCCCTGCCTAGCGCTGCCGCGTGCGCTACTTCTTCCCGAGCCAAGCCGCCCTGCCGAGCCGCCCTGTCGAGCCGCCTTTGCTGCCGCCCTTGCTGCAGCTGCTACCACTGCTGCCGCTACTGGTGCTGCTGCTGCCGCCCTTGCTGCCGCTGCTGCCGCTACTGCTGCTGCTGCCACGGCCACTGCTGCTGCTGCTACTGCCTGCTATGGCAACCATTACTGTCCTTACCTTTGACGCGGAGGGTCGCCCGATTCAGTTTGACTCCTGGCTAGAGGATCTCCATCTGTACCTGCAGAGTGTAGCTAGGGACGACGTCTCACTGTTAGAGCATACGTCCGGGTCCCTTCCCGCCCCAGATGAGTCAGCTGACCGTGTAGCTCGTTCCCAGTGGCTCACGCGCGATGCTACCGCCCGCCTTGCTGTCCGCAACCACCTCCCGCTAGATGAGAGGTCCCACTTTGGCCAGCTTAAGACGGCCAAAGAGCTCTATGACGCTATAGTCAAGCGCTACTCCTCCCCCTCTACTGCTTCCCTAGGCCGTCTCATGCTGCCATACCTCTTTCCTGAGCTGTCTGACTTCCCCACCATCGCTGATCTTATGGCCCACCTCCGCTCTAGTGACACTCGCTACCGCGCTGCTCTCAAGCCGGCCTTTCTGGCTGCGGACCTGCCCCCGATGTACATCACTCTTTACTTCCTCGTGACTCGCCTCCCTGACACTCTTCGCGCCGTTAGGGACCACTTCCTCTCCCTCGACCCCACTGAGCTCACGCTTGCCTCGCTTGAGACCTGTCTTCTAGAAGCTGAGACCAGTGCCCGCGCTGTTGCCGCCTCCGACGGCACCCCCCTCCCCTCCTTTTTTGAGGGGTGTTCCCCCTCTCATCTCACGCCCTCTGTTGCCTCCGCTGCTGTTGTTGACTTCCTTCATGCTGAGGAGGTTGGTGTTGCATCTGCTCCTAGTGGGAGGCGCCGCAGTGGCAAGGGCAAGGGGGGCAAGGGTGGAGGGGGTGGCACTGGCGGTGGTGGTAGCGGGGGTGGTGGCGGTGGTGATGGCGGGGGTGGAGGAGGTGGTGGCGGCGGTGGAGGTGGCGGAGGTGGTGGAGGCAGTGAGGTGGGCGGAGGGGGATCGGGAGGCGGTCGAGGTGGAGCTGGTAGGAGTGGAGGCTCTGGGGCGGCGTCTGGGGGTGCAGCTCATGGCGGCGGCGACTCTGGGGGTGGACAGCAGCAGCAGCCACGCAGGCAGGAGACTCTCTCGCCTCAGCAGCCTCTGGGGGCTGGTGAGCCCTGCGGCAAGATGGGCCACACTGAGTATCGCAGCTTCTTCCGTCTCGAGGATGCCTTCCGCTCTGAGTACGGTGACGAGACGGAGATCCCTAACTGGTTAGGATTGCTTGGGAAGGGGGTAGATGTGTTTGCTCGTGATTGGGACAAGATCAATGCTGACATGTATGCTATGTAAATTGCTAGTGAGTAGGGTGACTGTTACTCGTGTGTACCTAGTGCTGCTAGTGTAGCGGCTGCTAGTCTAGGTGCCTGTGAGCCTGTCAGCACAGGTGCAGCTCCTGCCAAGGCTTTGCACACCGTCACGCTTGACTCGGGCGCATCTCGCTGCTTCTTCCGCGACTGTCACACCGCTCGCTGCACCTGTCCCAGTCACTCTGGCTGACCCCTCTGGGGCCCAGTCGTAGCACGTGCCTCCACCGTTCTCCCGTGTCCGGCAGCCCCTTCCGGCTCACTCACAGGTCTCCACCTCCCCTCGTTCACTACGAACTTGGTGAGTAACGCTGAACTCCAGGACCAGTTGGTCACTACCACTACTCCTGGGGGTGAGCTTGTGGCGATCTGTACGGACTCACGGACTGGCGCCCACCTCGCCACGTTCACTCGGAGACCCGGGTCTAGCCTATACACACTGACCACTGAGTTCGCACACGTAGCTGCGTCCGGCCAGTTAGCTGCGTCTTGCTCGTGTCGGTTACTCACGCACCCGTCTCTCCTATGGCACCACCGTCTTGGTCACCCTTCCCTGCCGCGTGTGCGTGGCATGTACTCCCGTCTCTCTGGCCTCCCCATGCCGCCGCCCCCTCTCCCGCGCTCGCCTGCACCGCCGTGCCTTCCCTGCGTCGAGGGGCGGCAGCGCGCCGCTCCTCACTCCTCCTCGTTTCCTCCGACCACTGCTCCTCTGCAAACTCTCCACATCGACGTGTGGGGCCCCGCCCGCGTCAGTGGACAGGACCGAGAGCGGTACTTTCTGCTGGTTGTTGACGACTACACGCGCTACACCACGGTCTTCCCCTTGCAGAGAAAGGCGGATGTCCGCAGTGTCTTAATCCCTTGGATCCGCGCTGTTCGTCGCCATCTGAGCGCACGGTTTCAGCAGGACCTTCAGGTCCTGCGTTTGCACTCTGACCGAGGTGGTGAGTTTTCCTCCCGCCTCCTTGAGGACTTTTGTCGTGAGGAGGGCATCACCCAGTCGTTCACGCTTCAGGCATCTCCACATCAGAATGAGATTGCCGCATTGGCTAGATCATGGAGGTTGCTCGCACCTCCATGATCCATGCGGCTGCTCCCGATTTTCTGTGGCCGTTTGCGGTCCGATACGCCGCACATCAGCTCAACCTCTGGCCCCGTGTCTCCGTGCCAGAGACCTCGCCTACACTGCGTTCGACGGGGGTGGTTGGCGATGCGTCGGCGTTTCGGGTCTGGGGTTCACTTTCCCTTGTCCGCGATACCACCGCGGGCAAGCTCTCTTCTCGCACCGTTCGCTCCGTCTTCCTTGACTTTCCCACCGACTCGCCTGGCTGGCAGTTTTACCACCAAGCCACGCGTTGCGTCCTGTCCTCCCAGGACGTCACCTTTGACTAGTCGGTTTGCTTCTACCGTCTCTTCTCCCACAACACTCCCCCCGTCCCCCCCCCCCGCCTCTCTTCCTGGTTACAGGTCCCCCCCCCTCCCCCCACAGGGTCCTGCTCCCTCACGTGTGTCTCAGGTTGACCCACCCCCCTTGGTTCAGCCTTTGGAGGTCTCCTCTGACACCTCTGGCCAAGCTGAGGGGGGTGACTCTGCTGCTAACGACACAACGGCCACTCGCCGCTCACCGCGCTAGGAGACCCCTCCTGGTTTTCCGCCTCGGCCGTCTTCGCCGCCTCTGCAGCCTGTCGCTGTGGACTCTGGTGCTGCTGGGGGTGGTGACAATGGAGGTGCGGACTTTGGGGGTGCTGGTTCTGGTGGTGCTGAGCTTGGGGGTGCTGGTTCTGAAGGTGCTGAGCGTCCTAGTGGTGGTGGAGTCGTGGGTGCTCCTACTGGAGGTGTTGGGAGTGGACAGCAGTGGCAGTCTCGTCGGCGGGAGACCGCAGCAGCTTCGCGAGGGGGTTCTTCGGCGAGGCCGCTCTGGTGACAAAGCTGGAGCGACTGGTGCTGGAAGTACTTGAGCTGGAGGTGCTGAAGGTGCTGGTGCTGGAGGTACTGGAGCTGGAGGTACTGCAGGCGATGGTGCTGGAGGCCTTGGTGCTGGAGATACTGGTGCAGGAGGTACTGGAGCTGCTGGTGCTGGAGGTATTGGAGCTGGAGGTGGTGGAGGCGCTGGTGCTGGAGGTGCTGGTGCTGGAGGCATTGGAGCTGGAGGTGGTGGAGGCGCTAGTGCTCGAGGTGCTGGTGCTGGAGGTACTGGAGCTGGAGGTGCTGGAGGCGCTGGTGCTGGAGGTGCTGGTGCTGGAGGTACTGGAGGTACTGGAGGTACTGGAGCTGAAAGTGCTGGAGGTACTGGAGCTGGAGGTTCTGGTACAGTGGGTACTGCGCAGCGGCGACCGTTTTTCTTGCCTCAGCCGCAGTAGTCGCTGCCACCACCTGACTCGGAACTTCGCCAGGTTCTTAGTCTTCCGTCTTCCACTGGCCTTACTCCTCCTCTATTGTGTCCATCGCCAGACTCGTCTCGGACTCTGTTACCGCCTGACTCCCCCCTGCCTACTCCTTCTCCAGACATTGAGATGACAGAGTCCCTGACAGAGAGTAGAGAGCTAGCGTTGCGTCCTGTCACGCCTGTTCGTACTCGTCGTGCTCCTCGTGCTCGCCCTTCACCTGTCATCAGCACTCACACTATGGCACTTCCTCCTTCCTCTGTTCTACAGGGTGTTGTCCTGCCTTTGCCTCCTGCGTCTTCTCTTCTTATT